AGGATGAAGAGAAGCAGCAGCAGGCATAGGCTGAAGAGCAGGAGCATAGGCTGGGAAGGAGCGTGGAGGTGGAGGTCGCTTGGTTCCCGCGATCGCAACATACCAGGCGGTGCGAGCTGCGAGGGCCGCTCAATGCCACTTGTGGCTTTAATTTGAATTAAAATTGTAAATATGATATTTGGTTATGAGGTGCTACGATTTTACACTACTTATACTAACTTATATAGTCTGAATATGGTTAAGTTATTTTTCTGTACATTTTTTTTAATAAGGGAATCCTGCAGCAGACCAACAGGTTTTGGTCCAGCTTATCATGCCTCGGCAGGGCTAAGCTGGGACTGGCTGTCTGCTTACAGCTGTTCCCTTTTCCGTTCTGGTGACGGCTTTATACCCCATGTTCGGATAGTGTCTGAGGCAGTGGTGCAGCTGTGCCTCCAACTGGGCACACCTGCATAACTTCCACCACCCACCACGATGCCAGGAAACTCAAATACTTGGGAGAACGGGGCAGGAAAGAATAAGATTGAGTGTGGACAGACTAAAAAAAAAAAAAGCAGGTTAGAAAAGCCCAAAGCACGGCCCAATTTCATATATACTTTACTTTACTTTAGAGCCGAATCCTCCAATTAAACTCAGGTGAAGTCAGGGGGAAAAAATGCCCCTTCAGTACAAATTCCTGTTTGAGTTTGTTAAATAACTCTTCATGCAAGTCTGGAGTTTATTCTGTTTATTTTCTAAGCTTATATGTGGCTCAACATTCAATCCCATCTATGATCTCTCAATCCCTGCTCTATTTCTACAGCTTGTTTTTCTATAGCAGTTAAGCCAAACCATTAGCAGGCAGCTCAGTTGTCGCCTCAGTCGCTGTTTCGAACAACAAATTATCAATTGCTTTAAAAGATAAAAAATCTTGTTCAACGGCTTCAAGCTCTCTGCAACTGTAACTATTAGGTATTGCCAAACTTTACTGGTTTGAAGAAAAAACCAAAGAGGCCTCAAATATGTTTAGCTAGTATCTACATATGCAAAAGAAAACCAGCTTTTGCAGGAAGATCAGATTCCCCCTAAAAAAAAGCTGATCCTTTTCCTCTGTGAGGTCAGAGGCAGAACGCATATAAAGACTCCGGAGCCAGCCTCAGTTCTGTGCTGACAGGCATTTTTATGTCGGCTTCATGAGGATGGCTTTGATGCAGGCTTGGAGGTGGAAGCTAAGCCTGAAGACTATAAATACTAAATACTATTTAAAGGTAAAATATATAATTCTATAAATCCATGATTGTTAACGCACTTTTCACACTCACAAATCTTAATGTTTTAGATAACATGGAAAATATTACAATACAACTGGATCTCATAGACCTTATGATGAACTAGTGTATTTGGGTATCCAGCCTTTTGCCCCCTAAAATCTGGAAATGGGGAGCAGGTATAACAACAGCTGCAAAATGTGCTTTTTTTCTGATATTATTTCTTTGATAGCTCGATTTAACACTTTAAAAAAACTACCTCTAAAATACTATCTAACTAAGCATAGATGGGTTTTTTTTCTACTATTTTCATTTGCATGGAAGATAACTGGCAAAAACCAGGAAAGGTAGAATTATATCAGTGTTCTATAATTATTCCAAACACTGACTGCAGCTTTTGTGTAGTAAACATGAGGCAATCTAACTATATTTACTGTAGATCCTAATTGCAACTAGGAGCCATAAAAATACAACCTGTCATTAACATGTACATAAAATTAAGTCCACTGAAAATATACTTTACATCTTAAGTCCCCATTACTCACATCTTGTCTAGCAATTTTTTTTTTTTTTTTTTAAAGACACATTTAAGAGTGGAACAAAGCAAACAAAACCATAAAAACAACATATTTGATTTGATTTCAGGGCTACATGTATCCCAGCACAGATAGTGATGACCTGTTTAACATCTCATCCTATAGTGGTTTCATAATTAAACATGTGACATTTCATTTCAAGTCCAGAAAAGCATCTGAATTATTTATTGTGGGTCGTAAATGGAAGCACGGAAAGTTTCCTGTAATATCCCTGGCTGGTAAGATTATGAAAATTAAAAATCCGATGAACTCATGAGCACTTTACATTTCTTGTCAGGGAGCATAAGACAAAAATAATTAGAATTTCATAAGCGAGCATGCATAGCAGTGCATAATAAGCAGTGAGACTAGGAGCGACAAGTCTGCACTCTACCTAACAAGGCACCTCATGAAGCAGAGCAAAATAAAGACTGACAGAAAATATTGCTGAGAGACAGGTTAAAACTGAATTTGATTTGCAATCTAGTAGAATAACTCTGCAATGGGAAAAAGGAGGTGCTATGGTAAAATTGCCCCCAGCAATTGAATTGTATTAATTTTTATGATGTGTTGTTGTAACAGATTTGCTGGATATTGATATGCTCTACGTGGAGCAGGACAGAATATCTCTTGACAGTTTTTGACAGATAGTTTGCAGTCAGCACCGCAGTTATTTTGTCAGGCAGAGTCTGTTTTAATAAACGTATTATGCTGAGATCATTGGGTAATTTTTTTATTCTTGTCAAAGTAAAAGCTCTAAATACAGACCTCCAAGCCTCAAAGGAGGAAGCCCTGTCTGTTTTTGAGCAAATGTTGTTGTTAAAGCTATCATTACTCTGCAGAGCTGTAAAACGGTAGTCGAGTAATAGCATAAAAACTGCTATAGGGGGAAAAATTCTGTTTTCTTACTCTTAGGAAGGTATCAAGGGATCCATTCTCCATGAATTCAGTGATGATCATTACAGGACTGCTCTTGGTAACCACTCCTTCCAGATGAATGACGTTAGGATGGTCAAACTGACCCATAATGCTGGCCTCGCTCAGAAAGTCTCGTCTTTGCTTTTCGGTGTAGCCAGACTTCAGGGTCTTTATGGCCACAAACATCTCCCTTTTCCCCGTGAGCTTCAGGTTGCCACTGCACACTTCCCCAAACTCTCCTATTAAGACATGACACATAAAATAGTTGCAATTATAAATCATTCATAATGAAATATATCATTATTACACCTTGGCAATCTGCTATAGAAATATTGCATAGCAACCAAATTTCAATGAGCTCTTTCCGTTACCTGCACCAATGACCTGTTCAATCTTCACACAGGAAATATCAATCTCCTTGGCAAACTCCCTCACTGCCTCGTTTGGGTCTTCATATGTGAATGGATCAATGTAAATCTTCATTCCTGGAGACACTTGGAAGACAGGAAAGAGCCACTATAATATTGAATTGTTGTGGTCACGTTAGCAGACCTATGTGCCAGACAGTCCAATGCAGTGAGGGAGTGTAATAATTCATTCATATTTTATTTGTGCTATCCTGTGCAATTATGGATTTTTTTTCCTAAGACATAAAGGTAATGAAGGATGAAAGATGAAAGAGGTACTGTAATTACAAATGGTGGTATGACAGGCACCTTATGGGTACTGCGTGTGGTTGTTCAGTCAGCAAGGACATGGCACCTTCAGTCATCTGAGCTGTGATTTAGTGGGTTAATATATATATCATCTCCAGTGAGCCACTGTGCCATTAACACTCAGGAGAGGAAGTGGGGTCTTATATTGGTATTGCTCAACTCCACCTCTAGAAATAAATTGTCTGTCCTAAGTTGCGATGCCAGGTAAATTGGCTTAAGGTGGCCTTTAAGTGTTCGGGGACTTAAGTGTCCTTAGTTTAAAATCTGATTATAATGCACATACCTCCACATTAGACCTGAGGCCATCTGAATGGATGCAGAACTCACGCATGGCCTGCTGCTGTGCAAGAATAGCATGCACATTGCCTCAAACCCTGGCAGACTACAGCGAGAAAACATGCTTGAGCAATGGAACAGATGGAAAAGATCTTACTCGGCGCAACCCCCCATTACTAAAGCCCACAATCTCTTCTCAAGCTGAAGCATGGTTCAAAAGACCACCTTCCTTTAATGGCGAAGACGACCATAAACAAGGGCAAAAGCCTGAACTGCGACTGGTGTGAGAACAGGATACACACAAGACATGTTGGCTTCTGATAATAGCTGTGAAATACCCAGCTATTTACTGGCACGTTCTTCACTGTAGCTAAAACTGGAATCCTCTGCACAGCTTGTCTGGGCTTTTCTAAGAAACTAAGAATCTTATGAGAGAATCTGATTTGTTAAGAAGAGATAAAAGCAAACAAGCATATAAATAAATACAAAATTATGAATTTACTGTAAAAAAAGATCTGTTAATGAGCCAAGATGGAAATATCTTTCTCACAAAATGATCACTGCATTGACGTGATTGAAACTATGCTTTTTTTTTAAGTGCATACAGAAAGAATATCCTTGAGCAATTCCAATCATTCCCTAAATTCCTTTGAAAGTTGACAAAAGCAAACGACTCATCCGCGTTAGCGTTCTAACGGCCTCTACAATGAGTGAAGGCTGACCTATTTTTAACAAAATTAAATTATCTAACTAAGACGTCATGCATATAACATAGAGTTAAACTCTGATTTCTGTGTGGTTATCCACACCCTAAGTGAGTAGAATCAAACAATGGGAAAGATCACACAAAAGTACAGGCTGGGGACATGAGCAGGGGCCCACAGAAAAGGACCGCAGCAAGCAAGGTGGTAGCCATGGAGACATGAGGCATCGGCGTGTTGGATGAGCGCCACAGGAATGACACGTAAGTCATAGATACAGGTGTGTCTAGTCCTGCGGCTGAAGCCGTTGGTGAGAGTGGGTGGAGAAAAGTGGTGGTTTACTCACTGTGGCCGCTGGTGTAGTGCTGTAGTTTGTCTGTGTATTCTGAATCACCCCTGTCAAAGCCACGCCTCCTGGGGAAAAGACAAAGAACTCTAGCTCTGGCTCGGAGAGAGGGAGCAAGGAGGGGGAGAAGACATGAATCAAACACCCCCAGGTGTATCTAAGCTTTAGATAAATCAGCTAAAACCAGACTACAGAAAAATATATTGTTTTTTTCTTTGCTGCACAGAAAAAGGCATCTACACAGGCATACCACACAAATCTAAATATATCTTTCATCCCAGCCCTACTTTATTAGATGCATCAACCCTTTTGAGGGGAAACTATTGTAAGCTTGAAATATACTCTCCTGTTTGTCATCATTGGATTCTTTTTATCATCTACAGTTTGAATGTGGACTTATTTTCATTAGTGTATATTAACAATCGTGATCAAAAATACAGTATTCAAACAGATCAAACTATATGCAGGTGCATCTAAATGCATAATGATTAAAATAGTAATATATTTTCATTCAGCCCTTAACCAGAAACAATAGAAGCTTCTTAATGAGGCTCAGGAGAAAAAAAGACTGGAGTGTTGAACCATAATCAAAAGTCATGGATATCAGTAAATGTATATAATTTTTTATATTGAGAATATATACTATACAGTACATGGACATACTCTTTAGATGTGTAAAAATTCTGCATAAAAATGTTTTTTTATTGGTAAGTAATATATTATTTTCATCAACCCTTTAATGACCTGTAAGAGATGATCAGTAATAATAATAATAAAAAAATGCCTAAAATGTATCTCTGGATGCACTCTCATTAATTTTTAAGTATTTTGTTATGAAAGTTGCTTATAAAAATAGACTAAAGTTATACCAAAATCAGATTATATTTAATGTTTAACATTTTTTTCAAGAATGAAATTATCCATTTTACTTTTTGTAACATATTTCTGCATTCTCTTTAAGAATTATTTATTTTTCTTATTTTAATCTTTTTAAAGACTTTATAAATCAACAAAATATATTAAATGAACTTGATTCAGAGTGTAACCTTTTTTTAACCTTACTGCCTAAAATCTAGAGTAAATTTTAAGTGTACGTTTTTATCTAAATGTTCTACACTTTAGTACCATCTATATAATATCATTTTGTAGCCATAATCCAAAACGGTGATATACTGCATAGATAAAAGCCTGGGGGATATCTGAAGCATTAACATTGTCATGGTGGGAAATTTATCTTAGGTGTACTCTGTAGACTTTAAAATGCTGCACAGGTGCAGACCTGCACTGTCCGCATGATTGGCCCAATTGGGAACTGAAATCCAAGCCAGATATGAATCAACTGACTTTTTCACAGAGCTGTATTTTTTAAAGACCATAAGTTTGCATCTACGACACGTTTATTTTTGTGTGTGTGTGACTGTGGATCGAAATTGGTTAAGAATTGAGATATCTGAACAGAAGTAGTTTTATTTGCAGAACAAAAAAATTGCAGGGGCAGCAATTTGTAAAACTCTTTCAAAGACTTTTACATTAGAGAACTGACTCACCGGTTACAAACGATGATGATGACAACCAAAGCAATGAGGAAAACCATTCCTGCAGCTGCTGAACCAATGATGAGTGGAAGCTTCTCTTGCATGTTTGTGCTGTACTCTTCTATATTAGAACAAAAAAAAAAAGAGAGAAGTGTCATTCCAAGCATGCCCATACACACAGTCACAAGGCGCCACAAGCTGAAACATATGGGAAAGCATCTGAGCTGCTGCAATGGGTGGCAGACTGGCATAAGGCTGGGTGAACCAATGAGCATCTTGGCATCTCTGCTGGCAGCACGCAACATCTTGCAAACCACATCGAATGTGCTTAGATGCCACAGATATGGACAAATCATCTGGCAGAAAGTGTGTGAAGTGAAGGAGAGAGAGAGAGAGCATATTTGCATGAGAAGCAGACTGCTCCGAAAGCCAAGAATGAAGAAAGTAACTTCTAAATGGGTGCGAGAAAAAAAGAAAGCTTCCGCTCTTTAAAGTCACATAAGAAAATTAAATTAAATTATCCATTTAATGGAAGCAATTAAATGTAATAAAAACTTAATTTTGGTGTTTTTGCTTCTGGGAAAGCTTCACTTTCCCTCTGCTTCTATTTTGCTGAAACTGTAAGCTTTGTTTATATTTGTGGAACCGTTCTTCATTTTAAACTCCATCAGCAGGATTACTTTTTTTATTTTTTGCAGTTAAAAATCACCTTTTTAAATGGAAGTTTAAAGGATTAACATTGCACACGCTCTGTTTACACAATATTTCCAGTTCTGAGTCAGTCTAATGTTTTGTCTGTGCCGAGATCAATGTGCGCGGCAGCATCACGGATGTTCCTGTGAGAGTTCAGGCTAATGATGGCTCTAGGCTCTGCAGGCTGATGGAAATAAGATATTCAGAAGGGATTACCCAGAGATAGCTCTAACATTAACCTACTTGACTGATGTTTACTAAATGTAAGCCAATTTTTTTAGATAACAAGACAACTTTAATTTGTTGCTTAACCTAATATTTGTGTAAAAAAGAAAAAAATCATTGGTAGTGATTTATTCTAAAAACTGACATTTTATAGAATTGGTGTTAAGCAAAACTGTGATTTAACTATGAACCCTTTAGATTTTTCATCTGCTTTGGTGTTTTTTCTTTTCATACCGACATGGTGAGATCACCAAATTTCAGACAAGTATAAGCTATGCAGACGACCTAGCCAAAAGTCAAAAACTAATCACACCCTTGAGTTATTATTAATTAGATGTGGTTAAACATGTTTTTACGTTGCCAAATACAATTTTATTAGCCAGTCAAAGGAACAATTGCTTTTAGAACTGGTAAAAGAGAAATCAGGGTTAAGTGTTTTTTTGATAGTTTCTCTAAACAAATCTAGAACCTCTATGAAATCATGGAGAAGGCTGAAAGATTAAAAAAAAGAAAAGGAAAGGAGAGAGGAAATCATTTTTCAGTTCATCAGTTCTTTTCTGAGGCTTTTTTTTCATACCAACATGGTTAGATCACCAAATTTCAGACAAGTATAAGCTATGCAGACGACCTAGCCAAAATCAAAAACTAATTACACCCTTCAGTTATTATTGATTAGATGTGGTTAAACATGTTTTTAGGATGCCAAATACAATTTTATTAGCCAGTCCCAGGAACAATTACTCTTAAAACTGGTAAAAGAGAAAAGGGTTAAGTGTTTTTTTGATAGTTTCTCTAAATAAATATAGAAGCTCTATGAAAACATAGAGTCGGCTGCAAGATAAAAAAAAAAGGAAAGGAAAGAGGAAATCAGTTCATCAGTTCTTTTCTGAGGCTTCTGGGAAAACACTAAGAGAAACTTTTTAGAATTTTTGCCCATATAATATCACATATCTGGTGCAAAATTAAGACACTGTTTTAAAAACAAAAATTTGGGGCTATTTTAGGATGTTAACAACCTGCCACAGTTGATGAAACCAAGAAATTCTCTCTATATCGGATGAGCCTAAAGTAGAAAGTCTGGTCATCTGTCAGTGACATTTAACTTAAACACTCTGATTTTACAGCAAGACGGTGAGCTAAAGCAGCTCAGCAAGTCAATCTGAGAGACAAAAGAATAAAACAAAAAAGTTTTTTTTTTTTTCATAGGCTTAGTCTGGTTTGAATGGAATGTGGTGGTGTGATCTTAAACAGACTTCTCGTGCTTAAAAACTCTCCCGCTGGTGCTTAATTCAAACAATTCTACACAACAGTGGATCAAAGCTCCCCATCAAGATGCAAAACACCATTGGCCACTTATTTTAAATTCCTGATGGCACTTTTATCTGCAAAGGGAGGTAAGTTATTAGAAGAAAGGGCAATTAGTTTCCACAGATGGAAAAACTGATTCAGATAGCTTTTTTTAATTAAAAAACTATAAATGGACAATATCTTTCACCCTCTTTACAGTACAGTAAACAGCCTCAGGAGCAGCCACAGTCAAATACTGCTGCGACCTGTTAAGGAGTGCTATGACTCCAGTTTTCTGCCTTAGACTTTGAGACTTTGTAATCTCTATGTAGCTTCGATAAATTACCACAGTTTCTATATCTATATTTATTCGGTTTCTGTGCATTTTTAAAGGAATTTTAGTGATTTTAGTCATTTTCTATTATAATTGTGAGTGTTATGATGGGATAAATAATTGCCCCTTTTGGGGTTCAATAAAATTTCAGTCAACTATTTGGAATCTACAGTTTGCATTTAATCCAGTTCCCTTTTTTCTGCTATTACAATTCATTTGGTGAATGAAAAATATAACAACCTGAAACTTACAGTAACAGATCTGGAATGGTGCAAATACATATTCACAGGACGGTAATTGTTTTTGAATACTTGTGCTGTTTCCAACACATAATGTATCCTTCTCAGTCCCGCAGCTGTCTGAAATCTAACTGCACTGCATGATGTGTTAGAAAGCCAAGCATGAAAGGTGATAAGAACTGTGCGTGCTGTGGTGAGCGTTGGCTGAATTCTCACCCTCCGTCAGGGTCTGGAAGTACAGCTTGCCACTGTAGCGTCCGAAGCCAGCTACAGTGCGAGCCCGGACCTGGAAAACATAGATGCTCCCTGACTTGAGGCCACGGATCACTGCTGTGTTGGTCCGGCTTCTGATGGTGGTAGAGTTGTATTCGGATTGATCCTGGGGGGCAGAAAAAAAGATTTGTAATTTTGAAAGAGATTGCATAGGGTACTCATTTTGCTAAATTAAAGAGATTACATATCGGGAGCTAATATGTTAAGTTATATGACAGATTCAAGACTTCCCAGTACCTATTTAAGGAAATTTAAGGTATTTAAAATAAAGAAGTACAACAATATTATCACAATGAAGACAAATATTCAGATGCTGCCATTAGGAAAAGAGACTAGATGGCAGTTTGAGGCCAGGTGAATTCTTTGAGCTTCACCTTGTGATGATATGAGCTGCATTTCATTGCCATGCTTTTCCTTTCCAGAATGCTGACAGGATGAGAGCTGAGACCGAGACATTTTTATCCGCTTCCTTCAATAGGCTTCTCAGAAATCACTTCTGAGTCACAACAGGAGCTGGAACAATTGTTTTGACATTTCTCTCCACCAGTGTCAGTTAAAGAAATACAAGTCAAAAGTAAAACAACAGGCAAAAGCTTGAGGAACTACACATGTAACTGCTTCTGCATGAATGCATACGTGTGTTTTCTTATTAATGGACGTGGTGGAGTAAAGCACATTTGTGACTGTGAGGGTTCTTTTGAAAAACGATGCTGATTCGGAGGGGCTTGCCCCTTAAAAAAATATTTTTACATCAGTCAGCGAACCATGTTTTCAACCACAAGTCTCAGCACATCAATCCCCCCTGGCCCTGCTGCAGGGCTGAGCGCGGTTTTCTTTCCCAGTGACTGACCGTGATTGTAAGTAGAGGAGAACAAGCAGAGGTTCAAAGAAAAATTCAGAAGCTACATGCCTTTGAGGAACTGCTGCAGAGCAAACAAGCAGGAGGAGTTTCAGATATAAAATGGCCTAATGAAAAGGATTCAACACCTTAAATATGATCATTACGTATTTGGCCTTTTAGGAGGAGGGAAAATGAATGCAGTCTGTGTTTAGGGTCAAAGAGGATATACAGTAGGCAAAGCATCTAACCATGTACTTGAATGGTTATGATCACCTTTTCGTAATACTGGAGTTCATAGTCCAAGATGACTCCGTTTGGCTGATCTGGCTGAGACCAGGAGAGGGTGATGCTGTCCATGGTACGGCTGACCTGGTGCATTATTGATACCGTAGATGGAGCTGTGAAAAGAAAAAAAAAAAGTGTGTTACTTGTAACGGATAAAATAAAACCAGCTTAAACTACATTGTCATCCTCCGAGAATTTACCTCATCTTTAATCTTGCAATCAAACAGACTTATGGAAAGCTCTAAGCCCATAAAATCTACAGCATATAATAATGCATAGACTCCTGCTAGAGCATCAAGGGTAGACATCAGGCTCACAAGTCACAACACTAACTGAAACCATAAAAAGAGCCACATGGAACTTCCCGACATGAAATTTTACTTTGAGCAGATGAAAACATGCCTGTCATGGTGATAACAGACTACTTTTTCCTACATCTTTATTTAAAAATCACCAGACCACCATGGAGAGGAAAATACCACTCTGTCTTAAATTTGGCGTAGATTTCTTTAGTAGAAACATAATTCTTAAAGGATTAGGGAAATAGTGCAAAGATTTAAAAGTTTTAAAGATTTTTGTTCATTCATTAATATATATATATATATATATATATATATATATATATATATATATATATATATATATATATATATATATATATATATATATATATATATATATATATTTATGAATTTATACATCTATCTAGCTGCTGTAACAATAGGTACTTAGCTATGACTACATAAAATATGTCAAATATATATGTCTTCTTACAAAAATCTATTTAGATGCACAATTACCAATTTATTTACTGTGCAATCTGTATATGAACATTCTATATTAAAAAAACACTTTCTAAAATAAGTTTTAAGGTTATTTATTTATTTATGTGACAACATAAATAAAAGAAAATATTTCTTGTTAGTGAATTTCTTACATCATGGGTGGTCCGCTATTATCTTACACCACCATGTGACCTAAAATATTATCAGGTCAGACAGGGGCGTGATCACCCAAAGTTGTCCAGCAACCATTATGATTAGTTCAGGGTGTCACAGGTCAGCTTAAAGCTAAGAGAGGCCGAGGATAAAAAGCTCTGTCTGGGAAGCTTGGCAAGGACTGCAGGCCTCAATGTCTAAGCCTCTCTGTGTGTGTGAAAGGGTAGGGTGGGTTGAGGTGTCAGAGAAGGAGGGGTGCTGGGTGAAATTTATGTACACCAAACCCTACGCTCATCAGTTTCAGGCCCATGCGACTCACACACACTGCCCTTAGCCAGCAACACAGTGGCTCCCCTGAGTCCAAGCAATAAAGTCAAAAGTCTCTCCCTCGGCACGCGTTCTCTGTTCAAAATCCATTGACTGGAAAACTGCAACTACCACGCCTCTATAATATAAGGCTATGAAGTAACATGTGTATGGTTGTTATATAATTATCCATAAATTATGCATGTGACTTTAATATCGAAACCTGAAAATAAATTTAACTATCGGTCAGTAAGATGTTTGCCCAAACTGTGCAAAGAAGGAGAAGAAAATAAAGTTATATAAGTAACCACAGTGACTCAGATCTTATAATTACACATCTGTCAGCGAAGCCTCGCATGCCTTTTTACTAAAACAAAAGCTTCCGCCTAATATAATAAATTGTGATATCTCACATAAAAGGCTTTGGCAAGTCACTGAGTACGTCATGTGCAGCTGCCGGAAGATAATAAATTGAGTTTCTGTATTTCGTCTTAGGGAAACACTCTCACCAAGATATCCTGTAACTCTCTAAGGTTTGGCACGATACTCCCATCCAGGAGTCCGAGGTACAGCAATATTTACAGCGTGCAGCCAGGATACCAGCCTGAGGAATCTCCTCTATCTCAAAGTACTCCCCAGTTTGTTTGCAGTCACAAGACGACAACCTAATAAGGCAAACAGTTACTCAAAGGGGAACTCACGAGTATCCCATTACGGATGCACATATATTCAAGACTGCCACATGGCCTTTTCCTGCATAGCATTTCCATTAAACGCACGGAACAGCCATGCCCAGAAACCTGATACAGGACTGTAGAAACAAAGGAAGCTCATGTATTCATGTACAGGAGGATGGACACATGCCAGCATAAAAAAAAACCTGCAGAAGGAGAATACTTTAGTTAATTTTTGACAAAGGACAAGATTCGGTAAGACAGAGTGGCAGTTGTAACGTAGGGCCCCAACGGCCTCGAAGATGGAGTGAGATTCAAATAAATGAGGTCATAGCTCTTACAGGTAAATAATGCACTCAAAGGTGAGGTGTTGAAACATTATGCAAGTAGGGAAAACTACAAAGGTGCTTGGAATATAGAACCAGCTGTACTGCGTATTTTGAGGTAATTCAGTACATGCACTTCAAGCTACGTTGATGTTCCACCAATTGACTGTGGAATGCGTTGGCATGCAGAGTTGATGCTTCGCTGCAGTGATGCCTTCAGGACTGATTCACATATGTTAGCTATTTTCTTATATCACATTTAGAAACTCCAAATCCACAAATGTCTTTACTTACTGTTTTTTTCCACATATTAATCTGTAATTTTGAGGACTAAGTAAATACTTGGTTTCCTGTGTGAAAACAAGTCATCAAATTAAGCCACTAAATACATGTTGCAATCATTTCAAGCCATTTTCTGTTGTTGTAGTAATCTTTTGTAAATCATGAGGATCCTACTTGCCTTAACACAAATAGAATAAAAAAACTCCATTTTATATATACACACAGTACAATATGTCGATTCTATATCAGGTCACAAACGTTTACTGACAGCTTCATTCATAGATATTCGCAGCAAATGTTTTTTTTTATGCTTTTAAATCTAATAAAGCAGTTACAAGGACAGAGACAGGATATAGGTTTATATAATTAGATTAGATGGATGAATTGGAAAGACAAATGGCATGGTATAAAACGTTTTTCGCAGACACCACAAAACTTGAGCATGTGAATAAGAAAGTGCAGCTTTCAGAGGTTAAAACAACATCAACTGAATGAGAATCCGTTTTCTGGGAATACGTTTTGCCATAAGTCTAACTGTGGAGAGACTATTTACTTCTATTTTCAATCTAATACATCAAAACGTCTAAATAGCTCAAAGAAAATAATGGGACAATCAAATCAAATAATGAATACAGGGAGGAATGAGGGAGTATCATGTTACTTAATTGACCAAAGACAGGCAGCCCCAGCTGTTGTCAGAGAATTAGGTTTCAGACCCCACATTATTACCCCATACTGGATCTGATAGAAAAAACAGCCACTGCGAGTCCACTCTGGCCTTGAACCAAGCTAGGAGAACAACAAAGGCTCTGTTTTGTGCAACATCTGCGATAGATGTTTTACTGCTATATCTGAGCACCTAATGGCATCCCTAATCAATTAAAGATGGCGTTTACGGGGATATTGCTGCTCATTAAAAACCAAGCCAATTTACCGGGACATGTTTCTGCTACCACACATAGTACAAAAGTGAGGCTTTCATCCATCTAATTAATGTATGGCTCTGTAATGTTATTATATTGCACTCTTTTAGTGGGCTTTTCCACTCTCCCTTTGAAGATCTCCTTGACTTGTAGTGTTTGGCCTCAAATAATAGGAACCGCTGGGAACATGATGGGCATCTTCATTAAGTAAAGCTGATAAAGAGGGACCACTGGGGACGCCTGGCAGCAGAGGAATCTTGTCACACACCCACATCACATGCATCCAGTGATAAAGGACTCTTACCTTGCTCCGATTTAAACAAAATATGTGAAAAACCTTTCCTCGATTCAGTAGTGGTGATATATAAGATATGAAGTCCACTTCATACAACTTAGTTTAATATTTTTTATCTGCATCTTTTTTACAAACCACTGTGTCTGCAAACATGTGGCTCTGATTTGATTTGACGTTCCACTGCAAACAGCAATGCTATGATTTGGGGAAGATGTGGGGAGGTTGCGAGAACAGGTCAGGCCTCGTAAATCCCTTTCCCTTTTCATTGTAAAATCAGTTTTCCCGCAGAGGAAACTTTCACAAGAGGACTGAACCAGCTGGCTGCAAATTATGCAGCCTCCCAAACTAGCAGCCACTGCTCCACTCCTTCAGGCTGCCGTCCATTTACGAGCTGCAGATCGAGACATCTTTGAGGGAGAGGCTCATATTTGCATGTACTTTTAGCATGCTGGCAGCCTTCCCCATTTCCCCAGCTGCAAAGGATTGTGGGTTTTACATTTATAAAGATTTTCCAAAGCAGTAAAGCTACAAAAGTGAGATTTCAGTTGATCAAGCTTTAACCCAGCTGCATTGGAAAATAGGGGGGCAACAATATGATCATAAAGACAATGTAAACTAATTCTAAACTAGGCGGTTTAGGGGTCTGAAACGTTTTCAGGGGATTTGAGAGGATGAGATTTAAATGTAGGCCAAACTACCACATTGCAGAACTAAATGCAATAAAAATCTGTGGACAAGGACACATCTTGCAGAGGAAATGGAAAGTATTTATAAGTTTGAAAGAAATATGGTTCTTTGTTCAACTTTTCTGCCTTTTTGAATAAGGAGGTTAATTACACTACAAATCATGTTAAAGGGAATAAATAACATCACTTTTTCCTTTCTTTAACAAGTGTAGTAAGCTGTGCTTTGTCAGTATGGGATAAACTAATAAAACAGCTTTTCTTCAATAAAAAATGTTTGACATTTGTATAATGACAGAAATGCCATCTTATATTACTGCAAAAAAGTCCTTTATTTATGCTGAAATAGACATTTTGTATGTTAAAAGCATTCCGGGCAGAATATAATACCAGCATTTGGAATCCACAGATTTGCTGTGGTCTTTCCGTCTCTCCGGGACGATTAAGACTGAACAGACAATATTTGAGCTGTCTGCTACAGTGATGTAGATTGAAGGCTTTGATGCGCATAGCCGTGGGTCAAAACTGCAGTTTAATCAGCAGGCAGCGTATCTGCATTTAAACAACTTCCAAATGGGCAAGAAGAAAAACTCCACAAACCACAGGTTGCATGTCAATATTATTCGCAGTTGGAAAGCAAGTGTGGGCTGTGGTTGTCTTTTCTTCCATCAAGAAAGGGATTCAGT